CTCCCACATACACCTGAATCCAACCCCAATAAACTTTTTTTTCCTCCACTTCCATTATGGAGGCTGATCCTATGAATCTAGCAACTCTCATTGATGAATTGATTCAAGAACAGGACGACATTACTGGTATACTTTTCTTTGTGTTTAATGAGAGTGAGACAGAATAAAAAAAAGGTGGGGGGGGGTTACAGCTGGTTTTTTTTTGGTGTTTCTCTTTGATCGGTCCTAGGATGAATCTCATTCATCGTTTTTCTTTTTTCTACGCGTCCAATGGGGTATACAGCAATCAATGAAACTTTGGTTACTTGTGCTGAAGCGGATCTCGATCTAAAGTATTGTCAAGAGTTGGTCCAGCGGTTACTGGTCTTTGCTACAAAGCTCGAAAAGACCATCAAACACGCCGACTTTGGCAACACGTTGGAGCAGACGTTTACAAGAATCGCCACCAAAGCGCCGCATAAGGGTGTTGAACGGCTTTGTAAAGAACTCAAGGGAATCCTCAAAGGTAGCGCAGCGTACCTTTTTTTTTTTTTTCTATGCAAACTAACAGATGGATGATTTAGAATTGTTGCAAGTGCACCCGATCGAGGATCCTAATAAAACCTATCGAGTACGTATTTCTTTACCCACTCCTACGGCTATGAGTAGTCTTTTCTGTCTTTAGCATGGATTTAATTGAACAAGAGAATTCATATCCTCATCCAGCGTGACACCTTACTGATCCAACAAAGCGTCCTTTATTAGATCACATCTCTGTCCGACACTGTTATTCCAAGCAGCAAATTAATTCATCTTATAGCCATCGTGTGGGGTGCTCAACAGCGCTTGTTGTTGATAGACCCAAACTACACCAGATTGGCCCACCCTGCCGTTTGGTCGTACACATCCGCCGTGCTTGAAGCTGCCTGCCATGCCAAAGACCGCCTAGCCCAAACATATATACTTCAGGTACCTTATCCTACAACGAATTGCACTTCCTTTGTAACGCTTCCGTTTGACTCCATGTGATGTTTCTAGACGACTTCAATCTACTGGCAATGCTTTGCAAAAAAACTAGCTGCCCCTGGAGATCCCACATCAAGTCAACACATATGTGATCTGCTCGAGGGGGTGAAACAGACGTTGCAATTGCAATCGTCGTAAGTATTTCCCCTCACCCCCTCTTATTCTGAATAGGGCGCAATTATACAACAAGAGTGCTGAAGCAATATTTGAAATAGGTTTGAAGAGGAAATGATGGACAACTTTGCGAAAAGTATCAGGTCGTGGTTGAAAATGTTCACACCTTCCAAATTATCATGCCTCTATGACATTGCTGAATTGCTCGAGGAAATATGCAAGTACCCTTCGGCGCAAACACTACATAGCCTCATTGTAAGTTCCTTCCAGAGATAGCCGTTCCTTCTCTCTAGCTACGTGTTGCTTACCGAGTAAAAAAACCTGTTGTATAAACACCACCCTTATTTTTGTTAGGACATCATCCTGCTCGTTTCAAATCTCTTGTTCGACAATAATGTACCCTTGTCTTGCTTCCAGAATTACACTTCCGCTTTGGGAAAGGCTCGAAAACTGACGCCGTTCCACCAAGCCATTGTCATGAAATACGACGCGTTGTTCAACAAAGAAGAAGACCAATCTCTATCGGTAACGTCTGCTTTATCTTTGTGGCTTTGGCAACAGGTATACGTGTCCTATGAACAGAGATACTGACAAATTAAGCACAATTATATAATAGACATCACTACGAAAGCGAATTCGACTACAAAGTGCTGATGACATGGACGTTTGCGAAGGCAGCCAGTAAGAACTTACTTTGAAAAACGATAAAAGAAATTGCGAAAGAGTTGCTTTGAGTATGTGGAACTATGTTTTTATAGAGTCACTCACTTCTGTTATTGTTGTCCTTGGATAGGATGCAGGCACTACAAGAAAGAATTCAAAAGCGACATGGAGGCACTGTGGTAAATACACACATGAGTTGAAGAGAGCTAACGCAGCATGTTTATCGTCCTTGGGCACACTCATTGAATATTGATACTTCTTTTTTTTTTTAAAGCAAAAGACATGGTACCTAAAGACAATGCTGACTCTTGTCACTAGCGCAGAACAAGATGAGACCGAGGCATCGATCATGAAGACGTTAGACGATGTAAAGCTGTTTTTTTGTCTCACAAAATCGATATATGATTATGACTGACACCATTATGAAACTAACTCGCTAAATATGCCTACGTATTCTACCCTCCCCATCCGATGCATAAAAACCCAATAGATCAGATACTTGGGAATTCGCCAGTCAGAAGGTCTTTTTGATGAAAGCTTGACGCGAATCGCCTTGTCACATGTCCAGCAACGCTCGAATGACAGTAGCAACACTACTGGTAGCGTGACACAGCTATCAGACAAGATTGCAGCAATGTATGACATGTTGCTACCATATTACTTGCGGGCTTACATGTGCTACGCCCTACCATATGCCGTGGGCGCGAGCGATGAAACCCTGCTGGAAACACTTGCCCAGATGGTCACGTCCGACACAAAGTCTCTATGCGAAACTGGTGGACATCATTTAATCATCAGCTATTTCATGTCCAGCGACACTGCTTTCACCAACCAGGGTTTCGCTCGTCTACGAAGCATATTTCTCGACGATGAAGCGCCTGAAAAATTACTGAGATCGCATCAAACGAAAATTGTGTCGTCCTTGGCAATGCGATTAGCGGACGATGATTATGATAGGGTAAAGTTTTGTTTCTGTTTTTTTTTCTCTTAGTAACTAGTCGTGTGCTATGCTATTTGCTATTAAATGGTAGCTTCTCACCCTTGATTTACTGACGATGGATCATAGGCAGAGGTCGCTCTTAACGAGGTGATTGAATGGCTCCATATCACATCAGCGACAACACTGGGTGAATTCTTGCAGAGTTATTACCTCGCTATTCTCTCTCACGTATCAAAGTTCATCACTGAAATCCGCGAAAGAAAACCGGTGCTGACACATCCGAACGCATTAGCAGCCCTGGATAAAATATTGAAGCTAATGGGACACGGTGTACAAACACATGCATCCCAGGTACGCGTATCCCCTAATTTCCTTTTTCTGCTTTGTTGAACATTTTGATGCACTCGAATCATGTATTTGCTGTTGTTTACTTTCCAAGTCTTTTTAATCGACTATTTTCTATAATTACATACAACAGACAATGGCTTTATTTCAGACCATCGGTGAGCTACCACGGATGCAGCACGAAGTGTACAACCTATGGAAAAGATTTGCCCATGCTTTGCCGTTCACTGTACTGTCTGACTGCATTGGACCCATTGTTCGCGGTGTCCTGTCAATATTCCCGCGGTGCTCGGATGAAATCAAACAGGATATCGGCCGATTCTTGGAGGAGATCCTGCACGCGTGTAATTTGACCATGGACCGTCTACTAGAGCTCCCCAGTATCCAGCCCTTTGAAGAGCTCGATAAGGTCCGCGAACTCATTGATCAAAAGCGGGACGACCTATCGATCGAACAAAGCATCTTTGCCATATGCAAACGAGCTCGTAACGACGCTGCGTCAGACATCTTGACATTGGTCGAAGAACTCTTACGGATCCTCAAGAAACACGGCGCGCTTCATCCTGTCATTGTACGCCAACATTCCATGCTCTACACGGTACTGCTGTATCTGTCCAGGAAAACCGGTGATATCCAAAACATCCGCAACCTTGCTGCTGAATGTCTTGGCCTACTTGGCGCGACCGACCCGAGCCGACTCCAAGTCAGAGTGGTACAAGACGACATGATTGTACTCAAGAACTATACGAATCCAGAAGAGAACCGAGACTTTGTGTGCCACATCATTATTAAGCACTTGGTGCCAGCGTTCCGAAAAGCCAACAACGAAGAAACCCAGCAGTTTGTCCAGTATGCTATGCAAACCTTGCTGCGATTTGCAGGCTTTAAACACAGCACTGTCGTGGCAGCGAAAGCCTTGCCATCCAAGAACGCTGGAAAAAGATGCCCACGAATGTTCAAAACATGCTCTATCCACTGCTCGCGTCCTCTTTCACAGGCAACATGCAGATCCCTATGCCTCATTACCCGATCTATCCAAGTGCTGACAGTTACGAGACGTGGATAAAACGTTGGTACTACCTATTGACCAAGTCAGCAAGCGACGACAGTGTGAGAGACCTGTTTGCTGTGTTCACCTCCTTGGTGCAACGGGAATTCTTTGGCTTGGCCTTGGACCTGATCCCTCGTCTAGTCTTACATGTTGCGCTGACAGGATCAAAAGAAAAAAGCGCCGACGTTATTGGTGAAATACTATGCGTGCTCAACGGCGAAAGTCACACGCCAATGCATACTGAAAAAATGCAAAGAGATGCGTTACAGGTGAAAAAGTCAAACCAGAAATAAGCAAAACCCTCAAAAGAAGGATTACTGTGCACTAATATCCACCTGGATACATTCATTCTCTTTTTTTTTGCGGCTATTCTTAGGTGATTGTATTGACCACAGAGCATTGCAGAAAATGGATCCGTGACGCGCAGGAAAACCATGTCAACATGGATAACGGAGACATAACTAAAGTTCGAAACTTTTTGGAGCAGATTCCTAACGACAAGATGGCCACAGCATCATTCCGTTGCAAGGCGTATCCGCAAGCGCTGATGCATCTTGAGCTCTACTTGAAAGAAACTATGAGGGAGCACGGCGGTCGATTCACATCTGATGTTTTGGACAGTATGCGCCAAATATACGTTCATATTGATGATCCCGATGGCGTGGTTGCCGTTTACTCCCTGTTTCAACGGACGCTGTGCATGGATGAGGAGATCATGTTGTGTGAGCACATGGGTGATTGGAATACTGCCAGCGTGATGTACCGAAGTGTATTGGACTCACCGGAGCAAGAGGCGACGGAAGACAGCAGAATGCTATCTGGCTACTTTAACTGCTTGAGAGCAGGTGGAAATATCGGTAAGACTTGCATGCGGAAGGGACAGCAGTGAGCAAATACATCCTCTGCTCCAAAAATACGTTATTAAAGATAATGCCATTCACGTCCGCGTTTTCCAGAGATCATGCAAAGCGCAGCGACACGGCTTATGCGATTGTATCCACAGTTTCTCTCGCGATTGAACGCCTACCGCGCTGAAGCATCTTGGAAACTTGAAGATTGGGATACCTTGGATGCCTCTCTTAATCAACCGATCGAACAATCCTTTGATGGTTCGCTAGCTACTGCCATTGCACATTTCCGTCAAGGTAACAATCTGGCTGGACTTGTGAGTATCGACAAAGCCCAAAATTACCTCATGGATCATATGTTGTCAGCAAGTCACGACTCCTACCAACAGTCGTACGATCATATCCTTGGCCTCCAGATGATCCATGAGTTGAAACAAAGTCGGTTCATATGGGAAGAAGCTACGCGCAGTGAAAACTGTGCACCCATCACTGAACTACGAAGCAAGTGGGAGCAGCAGTTCAAGTTTGTAGCGCCCTCGCATTGCTATCAAATGAAGCTTCTGGAGCTTCGACAAGCAGCTTTGTTCAGTATGATGTATGTATTTCTCCAACGTATCTCTATTGTTGCATGATAGAAACTTTATACAAGACTAATGGCATCATGTCATCAGCCCCCAAGGAATCTCACTTTCAGCGCCTATCGATGACGGTAGCATCTGGTTGACAAAAGCCAAAGTAGCAAGAAAAGCAGGCGATATGAACACTGCTTTATATGCAATTCTCAGGGCAAAAAAATTTGGCGCCCCTTTTGTTTACCTGGAACGTGCCAAGTGGTATTGGGCAAACGAAAAAAAAGCAGAAGCCATCAAATATCTGCAAAGTCAAGCGAATCCATGTGCGAAGGTAAACATATCTCGAAAGACTTGGATTCGATTCATTGTATTGCGGAAGAGGGAGCAATCTAATTTGTTCTGCTTGATAATTTATGTATTCAGGCCGCCCTACTTCAAGCAAAATACTCGGAAGAGTTTGAAAAGTTTGACCGTACCACGATGCTAAGCTTATATAAAAGAGCCCAGAGGTTGGACCAAAGGTAAGTACCTTGCTGATCATGTGGGCTTGTGCTTCTGTCTGAAATGAAAAAAAAGTGTACTTATTACACTCGCTATCTAGCTGGGAGAAGGCCATGTACTATGTGGGTCGATATTACGACAAGAATATATCGGACAAGGATGCCAAGCATGTCATGCAAATGAGTGAGAAGGAGTAAGTTGAAATCCCGTACGTATGTTAGAAGGTGTTTGTAAATAATTGGACGAAATTCTGTTGTCCTCTTTCCTCGTTCTAGAATGAAGATAGCCAGCTGTGCAGTAACAAGCTATATTCGAGCTCTCCACCTTGGCTCAAAATACTTTTATTACACAATGCCACGATTCCTGACGCTCTGGCTGGAGTTTGGCGATGTTGTCGAGAGTCTAAACCTCATGTAAGCTCTTGTATAATTAGATATGAAAGGGGGAGGAGAGAGTCTATATGTGTATAAACATATACTCATAATTAACCTACAATATATATATCTTATGCAGAACCGATACCCAAACACGTACCACTGCCTTTGAAGTGTTCAAAAGCATCAATACAAGTATTCGAAACCATTTGGATGGGATTCACCCTCGCCAGGTACGGAATACATACCCATAAGGTTGAGCAGGAAAAAATCAGCATTTGCACACTCACTCAAAACAACAACTGGGTAAATATATAGTTCGCTATGGTACTTCCACGGCTGGTATCCCGTTTATCCCACCCCAATGAAGAAGTTGGTAATATTCTTATGAAAATCATTGGCAAAGTACTGGCCGCATATCCAAGAACAACAATCTGGGCGTTGTTGCCACCTGACGAATCAAGAAATGGCAAGATACGAGACCGTGCGCAAATGATATGTGATAAAGCCGAGGTAAGATTCTTTTTATAGGAACAAAGGATGTTTGGTCGAGACAAGTTGGATAAGCTGTACTTTATTAAACTAGACTAAAACCATTACTTACAACTATCTTTAGAACGATCCAACAAACGGCCGGCTACTTGCTAGCATCATTTCGGTTAGTAGCAGCAGTAATAGGGCGCCAGATATCAAGATGTGGTGGTTAGCATGGGTTACTCAAACTTTGCTGGATTTTTTATGTGTATAGCAAGCCAGGAAGTTTACGCGTGTGTTTAAAGCACTTGCAATGGAAGAGCCAATCACGGAGCAAACACACTACAGCACCAAGACGATTCCAGGATTATCGGAGATTGCGAACCTGGAGCTATGCATCCCATCGCAAAAAGCCCTGCTTCCAGAATTGCCAGAGGTGTCGACCGTTCCTTACCAAGGAATTGAAACTGAGGATTTGCCACGGATCAAAGGTTTATAGATATAAAAGAGAGGGAAAGAGACAGGATCCAAAATATTGATGTATTTGCTACTTATCCTGTTGTTTAGGCGTTTCTTCAAGCTATGAAGTGATGAGGTCGTTGATGAAACCGAAGAAAATTGCACTTATTGGCACAGACGGCAATACGTATACTTTCCTGGTCAAAAAAGCTGATGATCTCCGAAAAGATGCGCGTATGATGGAGTTCAATCATATGATCAACACATTCTTGCAAAAGGACGCAAACGCTCGAGAACGAAATTTATGTGAGTTATCGTCACCTGTTATTTGATGTATTGGTCAGATTTTGGGTAATGGTGCTAACATAAGATATATATGAACGATGTCTTTTCTCTGTCTCTTAGATATCCGAACATATGGCATTATTCCGCTTGGCGAGAAGTGGGGTCTAATCGAATGGATTAACAACTTGAACCCTCTCAAAGCAATCGTCGCTCAAGAATGGGCGTTACTTGGCAAAGACATCAGGGTAAAGACATAATTAGATATGTAGATATACTACAAAGATGAAGCATAAAAGACATGATATACGATGATCGTGTACACTAAAAAAGGTCTGCATACTTTTGTTCATGCCTTTAGCAAATTGCCACCCACGCTGGTTCTCTTTTGGTTAATGCAAAAACACCTGAAGAGAAGGAAAAAGTTTTCACGAATACTATCTTGCCTCGGTAAGCATACATTAGGTCAAGACGTATTGGAAAAGCAAAATAACTTTTATTAATATCCCCTTTTCTTGTTTTTCATTCAGATGTCCCAAAGTATTTCACAAGTGGTTCCTTGTACACTTTCCTGAACCTTCAGAATGGTTCGCCAGTCGTTCACGATACATACGAACTCTGGCAGTTATGTCCATTGTCGGATATATCCTTGGGTAAGGAAAAATCAGGATAGCTTTGGCCAGCATAAACAAAATATTAAGTTACAAAATGCAATCATTACACAGTCTCGGAGACCGACATGCTGAGAACATTCTCTTTGATCAAACAAACGGCGACTGTGTTCATGTCGACGTCAATATGCTTTTCGACAAGGTGAGTTATTGCCAGATCCATATTTTGTTTTCTCATACAAGCTATTGCTATCACAGATAAATGATGATGACTGACGATTCTCAATTATGATATACAACACTAGGGTGCCAATTTGACCGTTCCTGAGCTTGTCCCCTTCCGACTCACTCAAAACTTAATTGATGCAATGGGCATACTGAAAGTCGAGGGTAAAACAATAACCTCTTAGGTACAAAAAATTCAGTAAAAGGAAAAGGTTTATTGATGTTAGAATGCGTTGGGCTGGGGAATATAGGCATGTTTCGGAAGACCTGCGAGGTGACGCTAGACGTGATGAGGAAAAACAAGACCCAACTTCTATCAGTATTTGAGACATTGGGTCATGATCCTCTCGCAGACTGGCAAAAGAAGGCTCCCGGAAGAGCTAAGGTATAGTAATATCATTAATTATATCAGTAAACAGTACCAGGAGAGGGTGGTGAAACCAAACTTCTTTAATCAAAAATTCCCTTCTACAAAATAATTAGGAGGTCACCCGCGAACACCTAAAAGAATCGATAACAAGATTCACAACGGCCGCACCATTGAAAGTGAAGTGAAGAGACTCATTGCTCTAGCCTCCTCCAATGAGAACCTCAGTCAAATGTTTGTCGGTAAAGTATAGATACACGTCTCCCATCTGTTTCTGATCTATTGACCTTATGATGACTAACATTGTTTACCGTCTGTATATGTTATATACATAAATAGGTTGGGAACCATACATATAAAATCCAATAAAGTATAATTGCAAATATAATATGTTCCTAGCATATACATGTATATGCATAACTCCTCTATTATCAGAAAAGTGATTCCATAGCATATCTAACAAACAAACCACCTAAGTACAATTGCCTGGGCGCAAGTATTCTGTTCTTCGTTGTCATTGCTTTCAGTATTGTATATACTTTAAGTACGTTAAGCTTTTTGTTACACTCTTATTATTCCCGTTCCAAAGACCTTGTTCATCTCGAACAATGACGCCCGAGCTATTTTTTTGCAAAAGTAAATATACTCGTCCGTAGAGCAAGTTAAACGATAAGGGCTCTCGAAAAGCGCTATGGCGTAGTTATCCGATAGGTTTTGTTAACGTCAGTAAGCCTGTATCGCCCAGTTCATGCATACCTGTGATCTGCAGCAACATAAAGCTTCTATCCAACTTCTGGCACGGGCTTTGGAAACTGTTGGTTGTAACACGCCGATCACTTTTTACTACCCTATGTAGCAATGAATCAACAGATACCGGGACAGCCAAAGTTAAGTAGTGTTGATACAGAATTGCTAGCATACTTGGGTATGTGATGGTGCTCCATTCATGTGTATATGTACGTAATTGTTGTATTATATATGTATGTGGGTTACAGTAGTACAGTCAATAATGAGAACGTTCGCTATATTGAAGCAAAGTGTGTATCTTTCGAAATTTTTAAATCCAAAATCATGCAACATATATACGTTATCAAAAGCTGCAGATCGAAAATACGATATGGACAAAGATTGCGTTTGTCGATTTTTAAGGATGAAACACAATGGGATCGCAACATAGCTCACTTATTAGTGGGAAATCAACACAATGAAGAACAATGTGATATACTGCTGCCTGTATGCCCAAAGCTGTACTACTGTATGTAAATTTATATAAATGTTCCCTTGACATCTGATTACCTATCAACATTATAGGCTACTCCCACTTCTTTCTTTACTTAACTTACTCAACTACAACTACAGTACCCTTAGCCTCCTCCTCATACGTACATATTCAGTGCGATTTCAAGCCGCCATTAATCAACTTTCGTTGCTAACCACCTGCAACTTATGTATACGAGCTGGTCAATAGAAGATACCATTGTCAGTTCGGAGCTGAAATGGTATCGCGTCAGTGACCTGATCGATTATATATACACGGTACAAGAATAGTTATTTACCATTGACTACCAAGGCGAGAAGTTCAAGGCGCCTTTGTTGGAGCACTTGTCTCCTGCGACAGAACAGCGCAGATTCGAAAAAGGAGATACTCTGATATGCGAAAGCGTCGCACCTTGGTCCAGATGTCTTCTCCAATTGTTTTACACGGCTAGCCTAGTAGCAAAGACGGTCCAGGGGAAATATTCTACATTCGGCGCTGCTGCTGTTGATGAAGACGGTAACCATCCTAAAATGGTCTTGCTCGAACATCTTGCACAAGCTCTCCAATATATCGAATCTTGGCAGGGCGTCTTTGACCGAACGGCTTTTGAGAAACGGTACAAACTTGACTGGATTGATGATGATGATGTGGCCTGTGATGTTGACTATCACGACGAAAGCGACGCCAAGCCAAAATTTTCAAAGCTATCTAGGAGTGGTGACGCATCGAAGGACCAGAGACAAAAAAATGGTGGTCAGCATATCGTGCCCATTGTAAAGCCCATTGAAGGAACGAAGCAAGAAGATAGAAAAGAAGAAAAACACAATGGTGAAACCAGAGCGGATTTCAACGATCCAGTCGAGTCGACAAGAATGGAAAAGGAAAATTCATCTGCAACGAACAACCTCACACCCGACCAAGATAATCCACCGGAAGATATGCAGCACTGTAGCAAAAGTACAGAATTTTGCACTGTATTGAAGTAAAATGTTCCAATAAGAACCCAAATTAGCGATTCCTCATAACCTTTCTTAACTGGCTTGTTATGATACAATAGTACTCCTCTTTTTAGTTTCATTTCTGAGAAAAAAAGTCTTTGAGCGCTGACACTTCTTTTATCTGTTAAACAGTTTATAGCACATCATACACTTCTTTAGCTGATATTATTTCTGGTAACAATATAACGATTTACATTGAGACGGCAATTAAAAAATTGTTCAGCTATTTATAAAAGACAGCAACGTCTGCAGTATTTTCTACATCCAAGAGATGTGACTATAAGCAAGAAATCTTTTTAAGAAGAGCACGCACACAAAATACAGATTCAGGACATGATATAGACAATAAGAGAATGGCATTGAATACGCATCAATCACTCTAGCAGGAATACTGCTCAATTAGATAGCATCGAACGTGTAGCATCCCAAAACAGTACAGCAGGTCAAAGCGACAGTACGATCTCGTCGAAAGAATCAATCATACACTCGGTTGCCTCTTTTTCAGGCACACGCAAGGAAACTCAGCTTTGCTCTTTTTTTTTTCTTTCTTCGACATAATATAAAAAGTATAGAATGGATAATTCGGCATCACCGATTCCACTGGACGTGGCAAAAGCTATAAATATGAAACTATAATTATACGCTGTAACAAAGCACCTTTGCTTGAATAAGTGAAAGGCGTAGGCACCAAAAAGCAAAGACTAATGGTTAAACACTGCCTCTTTTTTTTCTGGTGCGACGATTGGCTGTCAGACAGTGTGAGAAAAGGAGGAGGGGGAGGGGTTGTGTGGGGGAGAGAGTGATCCTGCCTTCTTTTTTTCCGTTAAAACCTTGCTTCCATGGAAACAAACGCTCTCTCACGTTTCACCCTTTGTAATAACGACCAATGTTGCAACAAGTTCAACTTTACTGATGTTGCCACGGTGCATTCCGTTGTGAATGGCCCGGATCCTCGCGATCACTATGCCAATGAACGAAACTTGCTGACCTGGTTGCGTACTGGCATGGTACTTGTATTAATAGGTAAAGTCAATTCAATTTACTTCTCCACACAACAACCCCCACATGATTATACACTCGTCGTGGAGAAGCAACACTCTAGTTAGACAGTTCGCACAACACAGAGAGACACCCATGCTCATATATATGTAAACGGTGTGAAGGCTTTATGACGCTGTTGGACCTGTCAACCAAAGTATTCGCACCCTCTAATTCAATACCTTGGACAGACGATCCAGCATCGATCCAAGTTCAGGTTGTGTCGTACATTTTCGTGGCACTTGGGCTTGCGAGTATATGGCAGAGCTAACCTTGCCTGGTCTCTTTACGGAAAGAGATACACACTCACTTACGTCAACAACAATGGGCTAACAGCAAATAAAATCCATGCATAATTGATATAAACAGTGATAGATCAACGAAAAAAAAAAATCAAGATGCTGTTGTGGCTAGAAACCATATAAATGGTACAATATGACAAGGAATCTCATCTACCCGTGCAGTAATTACAACAGACATCTCTTTCTTCTACACAGTAGTATGTAGCCACCACTATCACATACGTATGATGAGAAAGGAACAAGGAACAAGTCGAGTGATTACATTTAAACTCATAAAGGTGGATCAGTTGGGTGATGATTGACGATAAAGATGTTGAGGGATTGAGTAGAGGTCAACGAATAGTCATGACAGGAAGTGGGTTAAAGCGATGCAAGCGAAATCTGAAAATTGACCTACAAGTCGCTTCAATATGCACACTGCCACATAAACTGCGCCCATTCGCTACGAAAAAATATCTCTTAACGAATTGGATGCGGTGACAGTTGGCAGTGGAGTTCCAACTGCGTCGGGGGCCTACGAGGCTACGAGCTATCACCGGGTTGACATCGTGCTTCTACTTTTCAAGTAGGAGTGGGGAGCTGAAAGTTCTATAGTTGAATGATCAGTTTCTTTTCCCAATTTTTACAAAAAAAAAAGAAAATGACAATAATATAGCATCTAGAGCAAGTCCAGCTTACTCGCTAAATTCTCCCAATTAATTTATTTTTTGGGCGAGTCCAACTTTTTTGCAAGCCGGGGACCAGCTATTGCTAGAGGACTCACCTACCATTTCGTTCGCGGGCTTTCTTTTTCGCCAATGAGATTTTCCATTTGGCCAACGGCGTTTTGAATTGGCCAACAGCATTTTATTTCGCTAATGGCCCCTTTTTCCGCCTAACGGCATTTTCACTTGGTCAATGGCTCTCTTTTTCACTAACGGCGTTACTAATTTGCTTGCAGCAATTTATTTCGTCAACGGCATCGTCACTTGGCCAACAGTCCCTCATTTGGCTTACAGCATTATTGTTTCGCCCATGTCACTGTCGCTTGGCTAGCAGCATTTTTAACCATTAGTCTTTGCTTTTTGGTGCCTACGCCTTTCACTTATTCAAGCAAAGGTGCTTTGTTACAGCGTATAATTATAGTTTCATATTTATAGCTTTTGCCACGTCCAGTGGAATCGGTGATGCCGAATTATCCATTCTATACTTTTTATATTATGTCGAAGAAAGAAAAAAAAAAGAGCAAAGCTGAGTTTCCTTGCGTGTGCCTGAAAAAGAGGCAACCGAGTGTATGATTGATTCTTTCGACGAGATCGTACTGTCGCTTTGACCTGCTGTACTGTTTTGGGATGCTACACGTTCGATGCTATCTAATTGAGCAGTATTCCTGCTAGAGTGATTGATGCGTATTCAATGCCATTCTCTTATTGTCTATATCATGTCCTGAATCTGTATTTTGTGTGCGTGCTCTTCTTAAAAAGATTTCTTGCTTATAGTCACATCTCTTGGATGTAGAAAATACTGCAGACGTTGCTGTCTTTTATAAATAGCTGAACAATTTTTTAATTGCCGTCTCAATGTAAATCGTTATATTGTTACCAGAAATAATATCAGCTAAAGAAGTGTATGATGTGCTATAAACTGTTTAACAGATAAAAGAAGTGTCAGCGCTCAAAGACTTTTTTTCTCAGAAATGAAACTAAAAAGAGGAGTACTATTGTATCATAACAAGCCAGTTAAGAAAGGTTATGAGGAATCGCTAATTTGGGTTCTTATTGGAACATTTTACTTCAATACAGTGCAAAATTCTGTACTTTTGCTACAGTGCTGCATATCTTCCGGTGGATTATCTTGGTCGGGTGTGAGGTTGTTCGTTGCAGATGAATTTTCCTTTTCCATTCTTGTCGACTCGACTGGATCGTTGAAATCCGCTCTGGTTTCACCATTGTGTTTTTCTTCTTTTCTATCTTCTTGCTTCGTTCCTTCAATGGGCTTTACAATGGGCACGATATGCTGACCACCATTTTTTTGTCTCTGGTCCTTCGATGCGTCACCACTCCTAGATAGCTTTGAAAATTTTGGCTTGGCGTCGCTTTCGTCGTGATAGTCAACATCACAGGCCACATCATCATCATCAATCCAGTCAAGTTTGTACCGTTTCTCAAAAGCCGTTCGGTCAAAGACGCCCTGCCAAGATTCGATATATTGGAGAGCTTGTGCAAGATGTTCGAGCAAGACCATTTTAGGATGGTTACCGTCTTCATCAACAGCAGCAGCGCCGAATGTAGAATATTTCCCCTGGACCGTCTTTGCTACTAGGCTAGCCGTGTAAAACAATTGGAGAAGACATCTGGACCAAGGTGCGACGCTTTCGCATATCAGAGTATCTCCTTTTTCGAATCTGCGCTGTTCTGTCGCAGGAGACAAGTGCTCCAACAAAGGCGCCTTGAACTTCTCGCCTTGGTAGTCAATGGTAAATAACTATTCTTGTACCGTGTATATATAATCGATCAGGTCACTGACGCGATACCATTTCAGCTCCGAACTGACAATGGTATCTTCTATTGACCAGCTCGTATACATAAGTTGCAGGTGGTTAGCAACGAAAGTTGATTAATGGCGGCTTGAAATCGCACTGAATATGTACGTATGAGGAGGAGGCTAAGGGTACTGTAGTTGTAGTTGAGTAAGTTAAGTAAAGAAAGAAGTGGGAGTAGCCTATAATGTTGATAGGTAATCAGATGTCAAGGGAACATTTATATAAATTTACATACAGTAGTACAGCTTTGGGCATACAGGCAGCAGTATATCACATTGTTCTTCATTGTGTTGATTTCCCACTAATAAGTGAGCTATGTTGCGATCCCATTGTGTTTCATCCTTAAAAATCGACAAACGCAATCTTTGTCCATATCGTATTTTCGATCTGCAGCTTTTGATAACGTATATATGTTGCATGATTTTGGATTTAAAAATTTCGAAAGATACACACTTTGCTTCAATATAGCGAACGTTCTCATTATTGACTGTACTACTGTAACCCACATACATATATAATACAACAATTACGTACATATACACATGAATGGAGCACCATCACATACCCAAGTATGCTAGCAATTCTGTATCAACACTAACTAACTTTGGCTGTCCCGGTATCTGTTGATTCAATGCTACATAGGGTAGTAAAAAGTGATCGGCGTGTTACAACCAACAGTTTACAAAGCCCGTGCCAGAAGTTGGATAGAAGCTTTATGTTGCTGCAGATCACAGGTATGCATGAACTGGGCGATACAGGCTTACTGACGTTAACAAAACCTATCGGATAACTACGCCATAGCGCTTTTCGAGAGCCCTTATCGTTTAACTTGCTCTACGGACGAGTATATTTACTTTTGCAAAAAAATAGCTCGGGCGTCATTGTTCGAGATGAACAAGGTCTTTGGAACGGGAATAATAAGAGTGTAATAAAAAGCTTAACGTACTTAAAGTATATACAATACTGAAAGAAATGACAACGAAGAACAGAATACTTGCGCCCAGGCAATTGTAATTAGGTGGTTTGTTTGTTAGATTTGCTATGGAATCACTTTTCTGATAATAGAGGAGTAATGTATATACATGTATATGCTAGGAGCATATTATATTTACAATTTTACTTTATTGGATATTACATGTAAAGTGCCCAACCTATTTATATATATAACATATACAGACGGTAAACAATGTTAGTCATCATAAGGTCAATAGATCAGAAACAGATGGGAGACGTGTATCTATACTTTACCGACAAACATTTGACTCAGGTTCGCGTTGGAGGAGGCTGAAGCGATGAGTCTCTTGACTTCATTATTGACGGAGCGGCCGTTGTAAATTTTGTTGTCGATTCTCTTCAATAGTTCGCGGGTGACCTCCTAATTATTTTGTAGAAGGGAATTTTTGGTTAAAGAAGTTTAGTTTCACCACCCCTCTGTGGTAAACCACACTACTTGAGATTGATCCGGACAACTCACCCCACTCCGCCGTCTTCGTAACCATTAGAACGCAGTAGAGAGAACACCACACACACGGATGATTCAAATATTACATAATTAGCACCATATCGATAATCAGGACCAACCATTGTATACACATTGCCCTATTCTCGAGTTAGTCAGCACTTCCTTTGAATCTAGCTTATCTGAGTTGAGCGAAGTGTACCTGTCAAAGAGCGGATACCAAGTCCAGCACTGACAAAGGTGAGACTTCGCCAAACAAGGAACACACTGATCACGGCAAAGATGACTCTTTACAATCGGAAGGCAACGTCCATTATCATGGCCGACAAACTCAACCTTCCCATCCTTCTTCATCTTTGAAACATCCGAAATCCGGCATGTCCGCGATCCATTCATCAGTTCATCCAAACGGAAGTCTAGACACCATCTTCAACAGTATATAAAGGGTTGTGAATTCAATCAATAAAAATCATCTCATATTTGTCTCTCACTGTATTTTCATATTGTCTCTTATTCAATCTTTTCCACAACCCACGTTTATCACACCCTCTCCTGGTACTGTTTACTGATATAATTAATGATATTACTATACCTTAGCTCTTCCGAGAGCCTTCTTTTGCCAGTCCGCGAGAGGATCATGTCCCAATGTCTCAAATACTGATAGGAGTTGGGTCTTGTTTTTTTTCATCACGTCTAGCGTCACCTCGCAGGTCTTCCGATACATGCCTATGTATATTCCCCAGCCCAACGCATTCTAACATCAATAAACCTTTTCCTTTTACTGAATTTTTTGTACCTAAGAGGTTATTGTTTTACCGTCGACTTTCAGTATGCCCATTGCATCAATTAAGTTTTGCGTGAGACGGAAGGGGACAAGCTCAGGAACGGTCTTATTCAATCGACAAACGTACGTCGACGGATTGTCCAAGACAAGTGCACGCAGTTTTAGACCTACGGATACATAGTGGATCTGTTAGCGTTTTAAATGACATCGAGCCTAAAATGAGCAAGCATAATTCGAATGTTGTTATTACTCACCCATCATGACGAATCCAATGACGACCAGCTCAGTTTTTCTTTTCGGGCACACATGTGCGAGCTTCCACATCATATCTTTCAGCATCTTTGGAACCTTCAAGCCCAGCTCGTTCTTCTCTTTCCTGCCACTCTCGCCTGCATCCGTCTTCCCCACCTCACAGCATCCGACCTCGCCTTTCGAGCACTTGAAAAGTATATCCGTCCGATAACCGTGTTTTTTTCAATCGTTTGGCTGGTGCAGTAAGTTTCATCTGTCTGAGTTTGCGGTACTCTCCGATATCCCATCTAAAGCAATAAATAATCCGGTCAGTAGCTTGATGAGTATTAGGATGTTTTCCCAGCTGTAACAGCATCACTTACGTTCTGACATCAAGCTGAAGGTCATCAAATGCTGTATCAATGAATCCGTAGACTCGTCGAATGATGTCAGCTTCGGTTTGATCATTTAGGGGAAAATAGTTGGAACGGAATAATCGGGTGACGTTTTGGATGGAATGCTGTGCCCAGTCAAGATAAAATTCTGTGTCAAAAGCATGCAGTCGCTTTCGTACACGAGTTTCTATACTTTCAAATGGTGTCCTATAAAGCAATCATAAGTCTCATGTTTTTTTTCTAAGGTACTATGACCCCAAGGAACATCCAACACAATTCTTTTTTTTACCAGGCCAATGAAATCGTTAAGGTATCCCAACAGCTCTTCCGGAATGTCGGGAAGCGGATGCTTCGATCTCTCCCCAATTTCTTCAATCTCCTTTTCCGTAAACTTCTCCATGAGTTCCTTGCATGTCATATCGCAACACTATAACAACAGATAAGTACATATTCTTTGTATCCTTTGCCTGTTTTATATGTATGTTACTTACTCTTCATGATTGCAGTTCAGGCCATAGTCAAACAACACGTCTTCTACCACCGTTCCAGTGGACAACTTCCACTTCAAATTTGAGTCCATAGCTTCATGTGCTTGGCGGAATTCTTTAGTGAAAGCTTGTGATGGTGACCTTGCTCCCTTGGAGGGTGTGAATACATGTAATCGAGAATTCTTTTCGGATCCACAGTATTTGAGGCGACAGTCTAATAAGAATTCATTTAACAATGATTCGTACTTCTTGATTAGAGATCCTTACAAAATCAAAATATAGTCGCTATGCGCTGCTTACCTCAAGAATACTGTACTATCTCACGCCAGTCAACATTGTCAGCGTAGACTGTAGGCCGATCGTCCTCAGGGACGTCTTGTAGAAGTGCAAGTAAGCCCCTCCCGAATCAAGAGCTCCAAGCGTTTTCGACTATCTGGTTTGGCTTATAATCAGCAACGATGAAGCTTTTATGCTTCGCAACAAACACCTCCAGCGAAGAGTCCCTCGCGTTTCTTATATACTCTAAGAGTAGTGAAAGTAATATTGTTAACAATAGAATCGTAGCAAAATTCAATATTTTTGATGCGAGAAAGACATACTCTATGAGTAACTGCCCTGATTTCGAGGCCAAGATGGCACAAAGGAGAATCGTATTCGTTGACTTTTCGATGTCATCACTGATGACTGAGTTTACAACGTCATCACTGAGATTCTTAAACGTCATCACAGAAAACCAGTCGATACTTTGGCTAGCGCGGCAAACACCTATTCCTTCACCAATACCCCGTTTGTTTTTCTTGGTCTCATGGCAACTCAAGTAAGATCTAAAAGTAATCTCTGCAGATGTCCAGTTTACAAAGTATTTCTTTCTAATCTATCTGTGTTGAACTTCTTTTGAAGCATGTAAAAGATACTTTCTATGTGATTTGGTCTTGACAATTGACTACCAACGGTTTCAGGTGACGCAAGGTCCTACTTGTTAACTACGACTTGACAGGTCGGGTCAAGTAACTGTTGCTGCACAGCTGGGGCGATCATCATGGTCTCAGTTCCCTCGTAGCAGTTGCGCACTTTCTCTATTTTTACTTTGAAGAGGTCCTACCTGTTAACTCCGACTTGACAGGTCGGGTCAAGTAACTGTTGCTGCACAGCTGGGGCGATCATCATGGTCTCAGTTCCCTCGTAGCAATTGCGCACTTTCTCTATTTTTACTTTGAAGAGGTCCTACCTGTTAACTCCGACTTGACAGGTCGGGTCAAGTAACTGTTGCTGCACAGCTGGGGCGATCATTATGGTCTCAGTTCCCTCGTAGCAGTTGCGCACTTTCTCTATTTTTACTTCGAAGAGGTCCTACCTGTTAACTCCGACTTGACAGGTCGGGTCAAGTAACTGTTGCTGCACAGCTGGGGCGATCATTATGGTCTCAGTTCCCTCGTAGCAGTTGCGCACTTTTTCATCTATTTCTGAAGTGGTCCTAGCTAATGACGCTTGACGGGATGCATTCGAGTAACTGTTGCTGCACACAACTGGGGCGATCTATATGGTCTCAGTTCACTCGTAGCAGTTCTGCGCTTTCTCTTTTATTTTTCTATAGTGGTTTTAGTGAATGACGCTCAACAGGATGGTCCCAGTTCTCCCGTAGCAGCTGCGCAGTTTGAAGACAAGATCGTGCTTTTTCGATTTGATTGAAAGGAGAAGCAATATCCGGTTGCTCGTTTTATTGGCATCAACTTGTATCTAGCTTATATCTTCCATCCAGTAGCTATCTTAGAATACATGATCTCTAATTTGTCCTTTTCCATAAAGTATTTGTTCCTTTTTCTTGAAAATGCCGATCCGTTGATGCAGTTCTTGCTGGCTTGTTAATGATCTGTGCTAGATATCTCTGCCCTTTTTAATAAATGTAGTGATGTCTTGATTGTCCCGGAATAAAAGATATTGAGAAAGAGAAGCAAATGAAAGGGATAGAAGAGGGTCTAATTGCTAAAGAAAAAAAGGCACAAGGAGGAACCAGTATATGTACCTTGGCCAACGACAAAAGAGCCCCCCGCACCAACGTTGGGTAGAGAATGGCTATCCGTATAGTAGCGTCTAACGGCTCTATATGAGTTCTTTATTAGGCCAGCCATTTGTATTAGCACGCACGTCTGTGTTGTCATATCAACAAACCACTAACTAACCACTCCTGTCCCAAAAAAAAGAATAAGCACATTTCCTTAGTAGGCCTTTTTTTGGTCCTGTCATTTACTTATCAACAACCTCCCTTCTCATGACCTAATAATATGGATAATCCGGCTAACTCTGCCAACACAGATGCCCCTACCACATACGCTTTGTATCTAAACATTTTTTGGCTGGGTTGACCTTTTTCCCACAGATTATATACTACTTAATTCTGATAATAGATGACATAACCTACATTTAGCCTGTTGTCCAATACATTTTCTGTTGGATGCATATATGGAGGAGCACTTTTTAGTACCACTCGATAAGGCTTCGACCCTGGATGATACATTGAAAGTGAATTAAACGGGAATTTGAATTTATTGAGGGTCGAAAGTTAGCCGATGTGAAATTAAGGGGGGTTGATCGTACTGTATGTCTGCATAGCGTCGACCTCACTTGTTAGCTCTGTTCAAACACAAATGGATGTGACTCACCTTGAGATAATAAAGATATTAGCAAAATTTATCATCATCATGCATTTGGAAACAGCCCGATTCGATAAGCTTTATATACGCAAAAGATCGATTTTTGATGCTGCTAACATAGGGAATACACATCGTTTAGCGAATGACATCAGTCGCAAAAAGCATTATGGATATTCAACAGTGCGCCCAGAGTCTATACTGCAATGGCAAAAGAGTTGGGACTAGCCGATGTAATCATGAATGCAAGGACGGTACGTGATGCAGAATGTCTCAAAGCAAGCACGGCGTTCCTCTTTGACGACCGAGCCCATGAGCGCGTAACAACCGGTGCAATTCGTGGCACGTAGAGACTACCGGTTGTAAGAGCAGATTTAGATCGTTGAAAAACGTAGTGTAATCAAAGAAACACAATTTCCATTACAAAAAGTAGCTATGTAGCCATTTATTTTACAATTAAAAAGTCGAACGTATTGCTACGTTACCATCCATCCTGGTCCTTCTCAAATTTACAGCATGCTTAATAATACTGACAAGACCAGTTACATTAAAAATTCATCGTCAAGAAACTGGGCACAAGCTGTTTACTCCACCGAATCAAAATATTTTCAAAACTTACATGCGGTTGCCAAGGAGATGCTCAAAAGCGAATCCGAGCCAATACTTATCATGAATCTTTTGGATCAAGATCTTCGGTTGGGAATATTAGTTATCTGAAGGAGTATTGGATACGTATCACTGTTTAGTTTAAATGTTTGTTTATTTATGGAAGGATGGATTGATCAGCGCCATAAGGCATACGGTCGCTTCCTTGCGGCACGGAATTGTCGATGCTTGAATATAATTTTACAGAGAGGGTAGCAAGACAATAAGAAACCAGTGGGAAAATGAATAAATAAATGGCAGAGGAATGATTGAGGTAATCGCAGAATGAGCGGGAGAGAGCGAGATGTTATAAGCTAGAAGCAAGGAGAGAATTGGATTACGATAGTAGACGTATGTATCAGTAGTGGTAATCATGTAAAGGTGTCCACCATCCTTATTGGTCATTGTCGTAGCAGCAGCAGGGTGTTTCAACCTACATCCTCATGTCTCTCCGTTGCATCACCGGGGCGTATATACATTATTGAACTGAAACGAATAATTCATCGCTGGAAAGAAGGACACATGAAAATCACGACAGAACAATGAAAGATATGCATCTGTATGACGCTTTGAAAGCTTCTGCGATGTGTTTTGACAATAATCATCCAAAACGATAACCAGGCAAAACTCATGATGAGTGATATACGACTACCGGCATAGTATTCGAGTCATATTGTAGATGATAGAGTGAAAGAATTACATCTGTATGACGCTTTGAAAATTTCTGCGATGTGTGTTTGACATTAATCATCCAAAACGATAGCTAGGTACGACTCGTAATGGGTGATATACGACTACCGGCATAGCATTCAGTCATATGGTGGGTGATAGAGTAAGTGTTATTGTGACAAATAGCTACAAGAACACAGCAATGATGTAGTGTATTCACGGACCTACGAGTCTGTTGAGGAGGCTGTGCTTAGCAGGTTACGGCTTCGGAATGTTTGCTTATTATTTTTAACTCGGGCTGCGTACACGTCTGAACCAAGGAAACAGGTGGGTATGACTGCTACTACTACACGATACAGCCCAAGAGAACATAGAGCGAATAAGAAGTCGTATTGAAAGCGTACATACACAAAAGAAGGCAGTAGTGAAGAGGCTATGGAAAGAAGCGTTTAATCAGCAGGAGAAAGGGCAATGCATGGGTTTGCTGCTGTCTGGAGAATGGTAATTTGATTATGTGTGAGAGAATACAGACCCAAAAAAAAGAGCGGACAGGAGATGGAACGTTTTCATCAATCAAAGCTGTGACATGCACTTCAGTGCCTCTGTCACATTATAAAATCAATCAAAGCTGTGCGTCTTCCCTCAATCTTCTCATCTCTCTTTCCTTCATCTTCCACTTTCAACCCTTGTTTTACTCTACTACTACCTCTTGATCTCAATACCCAAACAGTGCTTTGAGCAACACATTACGCACACTTGTACCCAATATCTCTTTGTCTATAACTTCTTGTAAAAATACCAGCACAAAAAATGTGGAAATATCTCCTTGGCAAGGTTTTCGTGACCACCGGCGGTAAGGCTCAGAACCAACAGCAAGCGACTAGTGATAGTGAGACGACAACGATGGCGACAGCGGTCGAAGCACGGCCTAGTCAGCCTAGTGGTCTGATGGGGCTGCTCGGCATCTTTGGCACCATGAAGCGACAAATTTTCGGTCCCTGCTATGATCCGTACCAGCGGGACCAGGTAGCACAGGAAGAACAAGAACAAAGAGGAGGTGCAACCAACCAACAAGGACAAGAAGAAGCGCGTGACGAGCGATCAACCAAAGGATGTTGGTCTCTTACCTCAATGTTCGTGAACACCATCTCCACCATTGGCTTTGAGCTCTTTTGGAACACAACACCAGCACAACCGCCGGCAGCGGTAACAAGTTTTAACGAAAAACAGCAACAGCCCCATCATTCGCGACGTCGTCCACTCTTCCGTGGCCGGGTTATCGACTTTACACATTTCAAGACATCATACGCTTACAGAATGCAAAAGGTCGTACGCTTCATTTGCGATATTTGTTTGCAAAGCCAACAACAGCAACAAGAGGATTATGACATTTTAAGAGATCCCTCGGCATGGGGCTTGCCTCCAGGTGTAGCCGAAAACTACCGACTTGCGGTCGAAGAAGAGGATAGCAGATGGGGCCTGGTGGACGAGAAGGATCTCGATGTCTGCTTCTTGGTATGTATCTGTCTTTTTTTCAATATACATCACATCTTCCAACAGCAAGTCTTCTCTCTCTCACTCACACAAACCGTGCTGTTTTGCTGCTTTCATTATATCACAAAGGCACCCATGCCATCTCCGGAACCCAAACGCACTTACATTATCATCCGAGAAGTACCCACACCACCAGCTGTACCCGTAGGCGTACCTCACTATTACCAGCATCCACGCACTTATCGCCATCTTTTTCATGACGCCGTAGTACTATAATAGCAGTACTGAAATAGGAAACCTTAGCCTTTTTCTCTTCTTTGTTTAGATCCTCTCTTCTTTGCATATACTTTTAGGACTTTATCAGTCAATTCTCCACACGTCCACATCTGCACATACACACACACACATCCAATTAAAACGCCAGAAGATCTATCAATCAATCAAAGGAATAAAAAAAACCTAAGCTGCTGTAAATTATACATATGATACTTAAAGAGCACAGATCTGGGGTAAAAATAATGCGACTTTTTTAATTACGTCCTTTGCGCCATAACTTCAATAGCAAAACATACACTTTTAGCTTGTTTATGCTGTCATACCTGTCTTGATAGTTGTTTATTCTTAACTTGTGTAATAAACGTTTTGCTTCACAATTTATGCTGAGAAGCCTTGGCTCTCCATCTTTATACATGCTTCTCTCTGATCTAATATCCTTCATCTAACAACCGGATGAGTAGTTTATTTACATCGTTACTCGCTGATTTTGCTCTCTGCTCTACGACCAGCCAAAAAATTACGGTCCTCATCTCTAACCCTCCAATCTCTAAATACCTTAATGAGGGCATTTTTAAACTACCATTCATACTTTCTGTGCCCTCACAAAATCTTCTATTTATTTTCAACTTGAGTACAAAACAGCTATAGGACGGAAAGTATGGCATTGTATAAAATATTAATGCTCCCAATATTATTCTCTTACACTATTATCACTTCGCATATTTACACACATATTAAATGACGGATCCACGTTCAGATCGAATCTGCCTTTAACTCATTCGAGGTCGGATCGGATCCAAAAACTCTCGATCCGGATCCGTCTTTTTGACACGGATCGGAACGAGTAGACGGATCGCCGGGTGAGAATGACAAAGTCGAGGCATCTCCCTTATGGCCTCCACATTTTTTTTGTATGGAGGATTTTACCCTCAGAGCAGTGTTGACGAATTTCGCCAACCGCAATTTTCTTTGGTGAAGTTGACGACGAAACAGCTGAAACTCCTGACATACAAGTGCACCCAGCAGAAAACAAATCTTATAAATACAAATTGTCAACACTTTTCATCCCCTCCCTTCAACAGATTTAGATTTTCATATGTATCTCCAAGTAAAGTAATTGATTTTTAGCCTCTAATTTTCGCCTATTTTCGCCCTGGCGAAAAATCAGCACTGGAAGAGAGGTAACAGCGGCCTCAAAGTGTGATAAGCAGAAGAAAAAAAATTACAAGAAATTATAAAAAATATCGAAAGATTGCCTTGACTGCTATGGCAGCAGTCTTAGCAGGAAGAAAGGGTGTGTTGTCGAAAATTAAAGCCCAGTGGGCTCGCCAGATGGCCAAAAGAGTATAAGCGATAATGAGGAGAAGTTGCGTGTGAGTGAAAGAGGAGTACGGAGGATCCCCAATGAGATGAAATGAAGAAAAGCAGATGGGCGCGGGTCATGGTGGCAGATGCGGTTCCAGACTCATTGCCATATATCAAATTTGCGTGGACATAGAACAAGAAAGTGAGCCAGTGTTTCGTTGGGACAACCACAAAGCCGACATTCCGGAGAGGGAAGGAAGGTGGAGTTCATACGGAACAGTCGTTCTGCATTAGGTATGACTGTATGATAGATGCGAAGGAGGACATTTCTAGCAGCATGGTCCATGGGGGTGGCCCAAAAGACACGCCAGTGTTTGGTGGAAACTGGGGATGCGGGTGTTCCTGGAGTGAGTTTTCGTCGGTACGCCTTGGTTTGCCACGAGGTGAACGCTGGGTCATTTTTGATGGCGTTGGTTAGTGGTTGAAAGTTGATAGAGTCAGGTTGATGTAAACGCCCATCTTGTGCATTAGTGCTGTGAATGCAAAGTCGTGCAAAGAAAGGGCGAATGATATAGCGGAAATTGATTACGTCGTGTCTAAGTTGATTGAGAAGCGTCGGGTGTCTGACGTCGTCGTCAAGCTGGCGCTGGCGCAGGCGAATATACCCAGGGACTGATCTTAAAGATGAAAGATCCTTCACCTGATATTTAGAGAAACCTGGTCGTCTAGGTGGTGGGTTGTCGGATGATGGCTGAATGATGACAGAGAGTGGTAATTCTAATGCTGTTGCGGGTGATAAGTTGTCGACTGTATCCCAGGACAAACCAGCCGCATCAATGGCACGAAGGACCAAGGCAACTGGCGATGCTGATTCATACGCTCGTTGTTTACGACTAGCTGGAGAGAACAAGACCAGCCGGTGGTCTGCGAATACTTTTTGATGGCAAGTAGTCGATGGATCAGACATAGAATATGTTGTGGGAACATACCGCTTTCATCCAGCATCGGTTGAGGTCACCTTAAAATGGGGTCCAATAAGCCAATCCCACCCTGGTGTCGTGGTACACATAGTTTCTGATAGGACACGCGTGGGAACATTCGATGCATTAGGAAGCTGCTGATGGTGCTTCTCAGTTTCTGGTGGAAGCCTGACAGTGGTGCGCCAATGATACGCAGAACATGCCATAGTTTTGACAAAATCAAGGTGTTGAGCACGGTGGCATGGCCGCGGATAGACAAGTTGCGGCTCAAGTGAATGTTGCATTGGTTCTTGACCGATTCCAGCAACCGGTTCATGAATGTATTCAGTTGGGTAGTTGAGGAGGTCAGTGGATAGCCCAAATATGTGACGGGGTCGGTCTGTGTACGATCGTGACAAGGCAGAATTCCATGTTGGTGTAGCAAAGCATTCCATCGAGGTTGTGGTGCCCCTCCTAGCGAGATTGCTTGGGTCTTTTCTTGATTGAACTTGGCATTTGAAGCGCGTTGATAGACATCCATGTGGTACAAAACCCGGCGCAAATCCTCGGGAGATTGCAGGAAAACAAGAATATCATCCGCGTAGGCGAGTGTTTTAATTGGCTCGGGGTGGGCATGGTGGCTGGTGCAATGTCATTGTTCGGTGATGTGAAGACATATCCGTGATATGATACGTCTCTTTGTAACGAGCGCAGAAAAGGCTCCAGAGCCAGGTTGAAAAGGATCGGCGACAGTGGATCACATTGTCGCAATCCGCGTTGTTGTGCAAATGGCGCGCTAAGATGACCGTTAATGTTGATACGTATACGCGTGTTGGAAAACAGTGAGTTGATGCTGTTAATAATCTGATCGGGAAAAGCAAAGTGTTGCAAAGTTTGAACTAAATACTGTGAATGGGTCCTATCATACGCTTTTTCCTGGTCGAGTAGGAGGCCAATGGCTGACGACGTATTGCTTGAGGCATGTTCCATGACAAGGCGTGCTGCTAGGCCATTTTCGGCAATAAAGCGACCCGGCATGAATCCCGTTTGCTGTGGGTTAATCAGGGGTGCAGCGGCCACCACGACGCGCTTATTTAGCAGCCGTGTGTATATCTTGGAATCACAATTGACGAGACTAATCGGCCGCCAATTCTTGAGTGTAGTCAGATCGCCCTTTTTTGGGAGGAGACGGATACAGGTTTCGGTCCAAGAATCAGGAAAAAGACCATTTTTCAATGCATCGTCATATACTTGACATGTAAGTGTTTTGGCTGCCGGGTGTTTGAATACGAGCCTCCATATGCCGTATGGTAAACCGTCGGTTCCAGGGCTACTTTGGCGTGGGGCTCGTTTAGCTCCGTCTTGGAGATCTTCAATGCTGAAGGGATCGACTAGGCTTTCTTTGCTGCTGGTGCTGAAGTGTGCTGAGGATGGTATGTTGTGCTGCAGTTGTTGGATAGCCGAGTCGTCAACGTCGTCGGAGGTATACAACTGTTCATAGAAAGCTGTTGCGGCTGAATGCATCGATTCCACTGTGTTACATATGTCGCCAGTGTGAGGATGTTGTAGAGTGACAATGTTGGCCTGTGACGTGCGTTGTTGTATGGTTCGCTTGAGATAACCAGCAGATTTCTCGCCTTGCTCCCGCCAGCGCTTTCCTGCACGTAAAGCGAGGGTATCGCAAACTTCATGTTGTGCTGCTGATATTTGTTGTTCAGTTATCTTTAAGAACCATATGCGTGTAGCGATGGGTGGATTTGACCGTAAAAACCGGTTGCGTTTCGATTGTAGTTTTTTGAGGTAAGCTGTTGTTTTATTGATGCGTTGCCGGCAATACTGTTGCATCTGCTGCTTTAGTAGACGCTTCAGTTCCTCCCATGATCGGACCATGAACTGGCAACATATGATACTTCCCTGGTCTTTACCGTATTGTGGAAAACTGGTGAAGCGGCATAGATGTAGTCAATGGTGGAAATCGTACTATCACCTCGACGAAACGTCGGCTGCGGTGTCTCTTGCGGATCTGGGTTGATGCAGTTGATGAAGTGTTGTTGTAGCATAGTGAACCAGGCTGACGGTGCGTTGAGATGGTACCCTGAGCGTTGGTCGCTATAGTTGAAATCCTCAGAGAGAATCAATCGTTCCGATAGGGATGTTGTTGATTAAGATGGTTGAGTTGTAGAGGGATGTGAAAAATTGCCGTCGTTGGGTTGGCGACGTTGCTGGTGCATAGATGGTAAGTATATAAAAAGGCTGAAAAAGTCGTTGGTGGTGTTCGACTTTAACGAGAAGATGTTGAGGGTTATCGAATACTGAGATTGGTGTGAGACTGAGGTCGGCGCTAAGTGATACGATGCCGCAATGATGTGTCCAGAATGATTGAAATAACGGTGGAATTTGTCCTTCTGAGAGGGTGTTGATATATGTGTTTCTTGCATAGTGATGATATGTGGTTGCTGTTGTTTGATATGTCGAACGAGTTGTGTTTTGTTGAGTGTAAGTAGTTTATTGCAATTAATGGACGCGAGTGAGATATCGTTGTTTTTTACTATCATAAAAATTATTGAGTTGAGAGTGGAGTGAGGGTTGGGATTGCGATGCTGTTGGTACGCGTGCGCTTGGGTCGGAAGGGGAGCCCGAGCTGTTGTCTGAGAGTAAACTTTGTTCATATCCTTGCAGGCTGATCGCGTTGGCGTGAGAGCCGGACATACAGGACTTGTTTCAGGTCAGCGGGGAAGTGTGCATCTTGTAGGATCTCCTTGGCAGTGTCCGAGAGTTCCAGCTATCTATCCAGTCCTTAGGGGGGTTGACTTCCGAAACGAGATCTTGTTCTTCAGCTGGGATCATCGGTCTATCGGTCTGATAGTCCGCAAATTCTATGACGATGTCGTCAAGTGCTTGTTCAAGTTACCCTCGTCGCATGAAAGCGGGGGAGCAATCGACCACCTCTTCTTGGGTGGTTTCCGCGTCTGTTGCTAATTTGTCGTCATTGGTATCCAAATTTTCCAGAGGAGCAAACCGGTTGGTCGGTTCCACGGGCTTGCCTTTTACGCTCGCGTGTTTAGACTTCAGGAGCTCCTTCGAGGGGGTTTGATCACGCGTGTGACCAGTCTTGCGGCGGCTTGTTTTGTTGCCGCCAGGGGTCCAGTCCTCGCTGTTTCGCACAGTGGGGCAGCTTGCAGCATAGTGGCTCTGAGCACCACACTTAAAGCATCCTTTCTGGTTACGTCGGGCGCGTGGGCAGTCGGCAACGGCATGCCCTGGCTCATGGCAGCGCGAGCAGTGGAGCGGCATCTGATCAAAATTGGCATAGATCAACTCTTCCTGGTCGCCGCTCCAGGGAATATGTTGATCAAGGGCGTGGAGTTGTTGATTATGTCGTGGCTGTATATCCAAAACGGCGAATCCTTGGCCCATGTAAGCTTTCGTTCTTGGATTGCGAATGATACCGACATCGAGGATGCATCTCCAAATTGTAACAAAGAATAGGGTTTCGGTCTTTGCTTAAGTAAGTAGAGCGAGCTTGGTTGAACGTGTAACCATCGCATCTTTCATGAAGTCCAAAGTTTTCTATCTCAACAAAATGTCCAAGACCCATTTCAAGAGCAAGAGAATTCCACCTTTGAAGATTCTAACCTGTAAATTTTGCGAAGAAACTGAACACGATCTGTTCAGTTGCGAGGTGTACATCGAATTGCACGACCACCTCATTATTTGCGAGGATTGCCGATGTGTTGGGCATGAATCATCAGAGAGTACGGAATGCATCAACTCAGGTAATTAGCGTTGACACGGTAAAATGATACAAATATTCTTACTGTGTATGAAGTATTAACTTTGGGCATTTTTTAAAGCAGTGACGGCATTCTTTTCTTAAAAACAATTTCCACAACTGTTTTCGACATCATTATTAAGCAGAATACTTTGAGAACATATTTTCAGGATTGTTTGAAGAACACTTGGGGGGCGGTAGGGGGGCATCCCTAGAGGACAGATGCTGACACGCAGCGAAGCGGAGGGGCTCACATCGTCCGGAAGCGAAGCGGAGGGACCAGTTTATACCTTTAATAATAAATAGATTCTCTCGAGCACCGAGCAATCAAAGGGCAAGGTAATACTTTGTGCATTGTTCCATGCATTACACACACTTAATTTGATTTCTATTAATCAGGGATCGCTTGGGAAAAGGGGTCGCGAAGAACCTGCAGCCCCATCATCATCATCATTACCATCATCCGCCCCATCATCTTCAGTCGCAGAAGACACACCGGTCCCCACAAGCAGTACAGAAAGTACTAATAAACGTGTATGTAAATTGTAGTAAATAACGTTGTAACCACATATTAATCAAGTATTTCCAAATGTCTATCTGCCATTATTCAATTAGCGAAAAAGGTTAACCATATATCTTTCTGAGAACATGGTACCCGGCGTAACATTGGACCCTGAAGTTGAGAAGGTAATATGTTCAATCTATTTCCAAAAATGTAACGGATGCTAATACTTAATTTTCACAGTGGGAAGTCAATGGAGTAGTGGTTTCCGAACTGTTACTTAAATACCGAGAAGAAAGCATTAAAAAGGGAGAGAAACAAGTGCTGGACATTTATCAAGAAGAGCTGTAAGTAACTGACCTCTAACTAGCAACAGTATGTTTTATTATATATTAACTTGACTAAAATATACCTCTAGTTCTCTCAATGGTATTTTTCTATTTGATGACTTGAATTGCGTTTATCCGGATTGCTCATTAGTGTATGGGTTTGATCGTGACACCTGGCAAGCGGTTATGAATGAATGCAAGGAGCTATATCCCGCTCAATCGTTGTCAAAAAAAACTAAAAAAATCATAAACAAATTTGCGGAGGTAAGGGTAGTAATTGTCGTTTTGATAAAGAAATGCTTATTAACTATCAATACTTGTGAATGACGATAGGCTGGCGCTGAAAATTTCGATAAATGCGACAAGATTGTTGAGAAACTGAACAACAAAGATCAGATCCGAGAATCGCTGCGCAATATGTACGTTATCATTTATGCAATTAAGGCCGTTATATATAAAGATTCATCCATTTGCTTGAAGTATATATACGTACTTATACCCATATTCGTTGAATTTAGCATATCGACATATTCTCCAGAATCATTCTATTGTTAACAATATTACTTTCACTACTCTTAGAGTATATAAGAAACGCGAGGGACTCTTCGCTGGAGGTGTTTGTTGCGAAGCATAAAAGCTTCATCGTTGCTGATTATAAGCCAAACCAGATAGTCGAAAACGCTTGGAGCTCTTGATTCGGGAGGGCTTACTTGCACTTCTACAAGACGTCCCTGAGGACGATCGGCCTACAGTCTACGCTGACAATGTTGACTGGCGTGAGATAGTAAAGTATTCTTGAGGTAAGCAGAGCATAGCGACTATATTTTGATTTTGTAAGGATCTCTAATCAAGAAGTACGAATCATTGTTAAATGAATTCTTATTAGATTGTCGCCTCAAATACTGTGGATCCGAAAAGAATTCTCGATTACATGTATTTCACACCCTCCAAGGGAGCAAGGTCACCATCACAAGCTTTCACTAAAGAATTCCGCCAAGCACATGAAGCTATGGACTCAAATTTGAAGTGGAAGTTGTCCACTGGAACGGTGGTAGAAGACGTGTTGTTTGACTATGGCCTGAACTGCAATTATGAAGAGTAAGTAACATACATATAAAACAGGCAAAGGATACAAAGAATATGGACTTATCTGTTGTTATAGTGTTGCGCATAGCTTTATTATCGATATGACATGCAAGGAACTCATGGAGAAGTTTACGGAAAAGGGGATTGAAGAAATTGGGGAGAGATCGAAGCATCCGCTTCCCGACATTCCGGAGAAACTTATGGAATGTGTTAACGGTTATGTTGGCCTGGTAAAAATAATTATAATTGTGTTGGATGTTCCTTGGGGCTATGGCACCTTTGAAAAAATTTGAGACTTATGATTACTTTATAGACCACTATTGAATGCTTAGAAACCCGTGTGCGAAAGCGACTATATGCTTTCGGCACTGATTTTTAATCTTGACGGGGCACAGCATTCGTTCCAAGACGTGATCCGTCTATTCCGTGCCAAATAC